AAAGTGAAGTGTTCTGGGCCAGATCATGGAAGTGGTATATTAATGTCACACATTTCATTTGTTCGGTGTTCTTTTTATTTTATATTCATGCAAATTCTCCACATATTGAAAAGAAAGACCATGAGGCACCTCCGTACTTTGCAGCAAAAGCCTTTTCACTACACTCTAGATTTTTAGTACTAGATTTCTAGGACAGTCTCGATGGTCAGCTTTACTGCTACGTTGTGCATCATTCATCTGATGGCTTTTAAGCACTGGGCTTTAATTTGTAGTTTAATTCGTGGGTGTGTGCATTTGCTCTTATGGTTGTAGAAACACAAGGGTAATTAATTACACTTAATTCATACTCGGGTAAAGATGTTACCTGGATATGTGGATGAAGTGTATGCCCAGAAATGTAGAACATTCCCAAGTCGTTAGTGAAATGCTGAGCTCTGTTTCATGCTCCTCACATTGGCACCTATGTTGTCTTGTGCTTGCTTATGTTTGTCAAGTTCACAGAGGCCTTGGCTCAAGGCTGTGTAAATTTTGTCTCTCCTTTGAGCTTAGTGAGTTGATCGAAAAGAGAAAGTTCTCTGATCCATGTACAAGCATTGGAGCAATCCAAGTACAGGGCTGTTGGACAGACGGAGAGCGATGGAAAAGGGCGTGGGAGTGGGGTGTGAAGAATCCAATGCTGAACAGGAGAAAAGAGCGAGCAGATGGTAGCGGCGGGAGCAAGGAATGGGTGTGAAATGTAAAAGGGAAAAACAGGAAATTCCCTAAAGGGACTCCCCAAAGTTGCACAACCACTAATGCACCTGCTGTCTAGAAGAAGGTGATTTGAAGGGGAAAACCAGCAATTTAGGGATCAAAAGCCCATCTAATAGCCCTGTCTATTCCCCACCAGAAGTTTGTAGCTGAGACACATGCTAAAGATCTTTTGATGCCGATGCTACACTGAATAGTGAAGATTAACTCTTCTGTGATTGCACTGAGATTGTACAAGGTCCTGGAACTGTTATAAATCAAACAAAAGAATCCTAACTCCATTTACACCATTATTAGAATAGTTACAAATTTACTGTTAGTGGTAGATCTAGGTGCCACTTGCACCTATAGACAAGATTATAAACCTTTGCCTTAAAGACCAGAAAGTAAGGATATTGAATCTCTCTCCTAGAAGAGCAGATTTGCAATGAAAGAGTAGACATGAGCAGGGATCTGTGGCCTGGTAAGACAGGCCTGTTGTGAGTAACTTGACTGTCAGCTCCGAAGCATTTCGACAAGGGATTATCACCCTTCCAGAGAACTTCTTTCTCAAGTGAGATTTTACTTTCTTAGCTGTTTTGCTTACCTCTCTGCCTCCTACTTCTCTTTCTCCTTAGCTGGCTCCTTTTTTCTCTTCTTAATCTGAAGTGTGGGCTTTCTTAAGATTTGTGACATCTGTCCTCATCTTTTTACTTTTGCTCTCTCCAAGACTGCCTCTTATCTAGCTTCAGCTCTTAATGTAGAGGGACAGATAACTTAACTTCCTAGCCCTTATTCCTCAACCTAATAAAACAGTCCTCCTGACTGTACTGAATATACAATAGTGGGAGTTCTCCTCCCCCGGACACCGATGCTGCATCTTCTATCTTCAACTCTTCTTATTCCCTGACATTTAAAAATGCAAAGGTCCGTAGACTGATCCTTCAGGATGTCTCCTCTAGTCTGTCCATGCCATCCTGTGCTATGGCCTTATTATTACTTACTTGTTCAACAAATATGACTTGGACCCAGGCTTAGACTATGTCTCATTTCAACCTCATATGAAATTGATTAGTTTTGCTAAAATTACTACTTAAATATGTCTTTACCTACTTAAAAAAAAAAAAAACATACCCACTACACAGAGGACAAAATATGAATTCCTCAGCCTGACTGAAAAATCTCTACCTTCTGTAGCAAGTTATATCATTATTTTCAATGAAGAACCTTCTCTTTGACTATACACTGCGAGATGATAAGGACTATGTTTGCTACTACCTTTAAGCATCCGAGAATCTTATAAAGTGCAGGGCGTGTACTAAACTCTTAAATATTCGCTACATAAATAAATGATTAAGGTGTCAAAAGTTTCCTGAGTATAAATGAAAAGCTTAAAAAAAAAAAAAGTACCCAAGGGGGTTGGGGGGAAGAAGAAAAAAAGCAGGTGAAAAGAGGGTAGACTTGCCTGACTAGACCTTTTTATCTTGTTTTTTACAGATCTGTCACTTGATACATATCATTGAAAAATTGATATAGTTACAGAACAAATGAAAAAGCAATCCCTAAAAGTTGAAAACAAAAGGAAACAAACCTGTTGTCTATTTGGTGGCATAGCCACATCAAGAAAAAAGTACATCAGGTGGTCTTAGAACACGGTATTTTGACTGAGCATCCATAGTGAGATGTACCCCAAGGACAAAAAGAATTGTAAAAAGTTTCTGACTGAGAGCCATAGTCTGTAATCATACTGTTGCTGGTAGTGGTGTCTCTATCACGGGATACAGTAAATGACTATGAGGTTGGTACTGGGAAATTACTTGCGAACTGAGATTTTTGGTTTGAGGGGGAAAAAAAGAGTTAAAGGTTGATGATTTTAAGTTAAAAGTCTTGGAATCATGTGATCGAAATGGAATTATTGATACGAGCTCTTGCTGACTTTTATCTTTTTTTTTTTTTTCAATTTTATCTTTAAAAAAAGTTGTAAGAAACACCGGATCAAGGGCTCTAAATATACATTCCTATCAAAAGGATCCAGGGCTCCTTGGAGCAAAGGCCAATTCCAAATGCGTATGATTAACCTGATAGATATCATCGTACCAGAAAGAAAGTAAACTACCAAGGACTGTTAAGATCAGGTCAGAGGCATTCACGAGCTACCTTGGAGGTTTCCACTTGGTAAAAATGGGACAGTTGGAGCATCAGTGGGAATACAGATTGAACACTGCAGCCATATTTAAAAACACCAATTTGTCACTTTTGGAGGATACTAGAGAATCAACCTGTTATTTTTGAAAACTAAGTACAGAGAAAAGAATCAAGCACTCATCATGCTTGTTCCTATAGGAAATGTACTTTAGTATAACCAACTATCTGCTGAGGGCAGGTTCATCTTCTTGTAAATGATCAGTAATCGAGTAAGAAGGAATAGAAGAATGCAAATATCACTTTTTGCAAGCCCTGATAAGCATATGTAGGCCACGATCACCAGTGACTGCTGACATTCCAGAAGGAGAGACAACGAGTCATTACAAAAGTGTTCTTCCCCCAAAACACTGAACCTGAATGTGATCAGGTCTCTAGAAATGCAGAGCATTAACATGTGGTTGCTGAGAATTTGAAATGTGACAAGTCTGAGTCGAGAAGCGCTGGAAATGTAAAATACACACTGAATTTTGAAGGCCCGGTAAGAAAAAAGAACAAGGAATGTACTAACTTTCAGGAGCAATATATTTGAAATATGAAAATTTTAATGTTTCATTTAATGTTTCTTTTAACCTTATTAAAAATGGTTACTAGGAAATTTTATAATACTTGCGTTATATTTCTGT